ATATTCAACACATAAGCACATAAAATCACACATACATGCATAAAATCATACATAACATACACATACACATAGATCTACACATTTTACTTGTATTCTCCCCCATAAAACTTATGAAAACCGAAAAGAGAGGGGTATGAACTCACCTTGAGTTTTTGGATTCGGTTTAGAAGAAAAATGGAAGAAGTTTGATGCAAATCTCGGCCTAACAAGCTTCTTGGTGGATCTTTGGCTTAGATGTGTTCTAAGATGCAAGATCACGAGTTTGAATAGATTTAGAAGAGATTTTTTTGATGAAATGAAGTAGTAGATCATGAATTTAAGCATCAACTTACCTTAGATGATGACTCTTAGGGAGAATCCTACTTGAAAGCTCCTAGATCTCGAAATTTTTGATGAAGAAGAAGGAAGAGTGTTCTTTGAGAGTGTTTGAGTGAATTGTGTGTGTGTGTCTTTCCCTTTGTGGTTCTCGGCCGAAGAAGAAAAGAGAGAGGAGAAGAGAGTGTGAAGTGATGGATGCTTGGAAATATAGGAAGGGTGCATGGATACCCCATGTACAATTGTGAGGTGGCAAGTAAAAAGTCAACTCTTCCCCCCATTTGTGTAGTTGGGCCGAGAGAAGGGGAAGGAAGAAAAAAATTGGGCTTTTGTGCTTAAGTCCAAGATATGGGCCCAATTTACATCAAAGTATGAGTCTTATGGCCTTTTTAAGTTAATTAGATTTGTTATGGCCCCCTTAGGGTATTTTATTTCATTCAGGGCCCATTATGGCCCACAATGTTAAAATAAATGAAAGTGGGTCCAATTAGAGTCCATATAGGAGTTCTAAGCCCAAAATAGTCAAATTGGAAGTTTATTGGTCCATTAGGCCCAAATAAGAAAATCCTAATCCAAAATGGACTTAAACCGGGGTTTCTAGGGTTTCCAATTCTTTGTTGACTATTTGCAGTGCTTGTATAAAGTGTTTGATGGAAGTTTGTTGTTATTGAATAAGCATCATACATGCTTTCACATTTTTGGTTCACAAATGTTATCATTGTTGTTGTTACAAAGCATCAAAATTCCTAGTTGTGACATCATCCCCCCGTTAGAGGGAATTTCGTCCTGAAATTCTTTTGAAAGCTAGATTTGAGAATGCGAGAATAGGTGTGGGTACTTCTGCTTCATTTGGTCTTCACGTTCCCATGTGAATTCTGGTCCGCGTCTCGCGTTCCATCGAACTTTCACAATCGGAATGCGACTTTGCTTAGTACGCTTCACCTCCCTGTCCATGATTTCGACTGGTTCTTCGATGAACAGGAGATTCTCGTTGATTTCGATTTTTTCTAATGGAATGACGAGAGTTTCGTCGGATAAGCATTTCTTTAAATTGGAAACATGGAACACGGGGTGTACACTGCTGAGCTCAGCGGGTAGCTGCAGTCTATAAGCCACTGGACCGATTCGGGCAAGAATCTCGAAGGGTCCAATGTATCGAGGGTTTAGCTTTCCCCGTTTCCCAAAACGAATCACCCTTTTCCAAGGAGAGACCTTTAATAACACCCTATCCCCGACTCTGGATTCCAAGGGCTTTCGCCGCTTATCGGCGTAGCTCTTTTGTCTGTCTCGTGATGATTGCAGTCGGGCTCTGATTTGAATTATCTTCTCGGCCGTCTCGCGTATGATTTCTGGTCCCGTTAGTGCATTGTCTGATGTTTTCCTTTTGCTAACTGAGTGTCCCTACCTCTGCCCAACACAACGGTGATCTACATTTACGCCCATACAATGCCTCGAAAGGAGCGACTTTGATGCTTGAGTGATAACTGTTATTGTACGAGAATTCGATCAAAGGCAAGTGGATATCCCACGACTTTCCAAAGTCTATCACACATGCGCGAAGCATATCTTCAAGGGTTTGAATGGTTCGTTCGCTTTGACCATCCGTTTGTGGGTGGTAGGCAGTGCTCATGTCAAGTTGTGTTCCCATAGCTTTCTGAAGGGATTGCCAAAAGCGTGAAGTAAACCTACTATCTCTATCTGAGATGATAGATATTGGCACTCCGTGGAGTCTCACGATTTCCTTGATATAGGTCCTTGTCAGACGTTCCATCTTGTATGATTCTTTTATTGGCAGGAAATGAGCGGATTTTGTCAATCTATCAACTATTACCCATATGGTATCCAAACCATCAGTCGTCTTGGGTAGCTTGGTCACAAAGTCCATAGTAATCCTTTCCCATTTCCACTCGGGAATTACTGGTTGCTGTAGTAATCCCGAGGGCTTTGATATTCCACTTTTACTTTAGCACATGTGAGGCACTTGCTAACGTAAGTGGCAATCTCTGCCTTCATGTTAGGCCACCAATAATGTTGCTTGACATCCAAGTACATTTTATCTGAACCCGGATGGATGGAGTATCGCGTCTTGTGGGCTTCATTCATGACTACTTCTCTGAATCCCCCAAGTTTAGGGACCCAAATGCGGTTCATGAAGTAATATGCTCCGTCCTCCTTCACTTCGAAA